TGCTATTTCAGCTGACGTTTTGGCCAAATGGCATTCACACTTGCATTTTCGTAGGAAATGCAACTTCTCTAGTTATTATTATTATTGTTACTATCTTCTTCCGTACGTTTTTTGGCACCTATCTCCTCCCGCAGTTTTTGTCCGATTCGTACAATTCATATATCAAAACGTCGGGCTCATTAATGCCATGCCTGCTATATCTCCGGGGATTTCAGCTACTTATACTTTTTTAGCTATTTCACTTTTTTTGCTGATTTTGGCCCCATTGACTTTGAATGGGGCTTTGTTTCAACTGCTCTAAACATCTGAAATTCTTCATAATTCTTCACAGCTTTTCACATATTTTGCTTTGGTTATGCTTCCTCTAAATTTATCATGCTAGTTTTAGCTTTTTTTGATAACTTTAGCTGTTTTCTGCTATTTCAGCTAGAGATCTGCTACTTTCTGCTATTTTCCTGCTTTTTTATGCTAYTTCTCTGCTTTTTCCTGCTAATTTGGACATTTTATGCTTCTTACAGTTGCTTTCTGCTACATTAAGCTATTTTCAACAAATTTAGCTACATTTTAGCTGTTATTAGCCAAAGTTAGCCTTCAAATGTAGTTACTCATTTTTTTGGAGCTACTTCGACTTAATTCGGCTCAGTCCAGCAAAATTGTGCTCCTTATGCATCGTTATGCTAATTAAAACCTTAACAGCTCCTTTTTAGCTGTGTCACTGAAAAGTTCGGCTGTTTTACCTATTACACTTGAAATTATCACTTTTTCAGATTTTCATGGGGTTTTTTCCTAGYAATTTTAATTTTTTACTTCCATTTCACCATCTGGGTGCTACTTTCAACTTGAGTCTGCTACCTTTAGCTTTTAGCTTACGTTTTGCGCAACAGGCATTCACCCTTGCATTTTCGTAGGAAATGCAAATTCTCTAGTTGCTTTTATTGTGATGGAACCTGAGTATATTTTTCCTTATCATGTGCCAACGTGAATTGTGTTTTAACAGTGAGAGAACCTAACGTGTGGTGTCTGAATCTCTTAGTTTCTGTTTTCGTCACGTTTTAATATTAGGATTCATGCCAACCCGTATTTTACCTCTTTTCCTTTTCTTTTTTGTCAAGACCCTTGTCGTCTTCCCCCATAACTCAAGAATTCACCGACAACCGTTCCATGACAAAATTAAAGTTTGTTTTTGTTTGCATGTTGTTTTTTTCCCCACCGTCACACTGGCGGGGCAGTACCAGATGTGAGCAGTGTAACGCCATGTGGGAACCATCAATGTTATCGAATGCATTAGCATTCAAAAGTTTTAACGAAACAAGAAGAAACTCACTGAAGGCTTTTTCTTTAATAAAAGCAACATTTTTCTCTCTCCAGTCATACATTTTCTTTCCTTTAAGCTTACATGTAGTTATGATACAAGTCCTAATATTCCAGTCACATTGTGTTTTCATGCAGATTTACACTTTTGCATCCCGATGTTTTATTACAAATAACCAGGCACTGACTCCTGCTTAACGCCACAGGTGTGGAGGGGAAAAAAGGGGTTTGTTTGCATGCATTACTCACACAGATGTGGGGACACAATCTTCATTATTCTGATGCCATACATTATTATTCATTGGCACACCTACTTACACACCAGCAGTGAGAAAAGCAACATCCACACAGTCATGCTCATTTGACTTGCAGTACCTGGGCAAAAATAGTAAAACTGGTTTAAAAAACTTCTCCCTGACTCATGGACACAAAAACACACACTGAGCCAGTGATGCCACATAACTTTCACCAAGACCTCATTACATTGATACACACACACTCCTATTATTTCATTCTTTTTATTTCCCCTGTCTTTCAAGGAAACCGCAGTGATAAATGGCAACATATGCCAAGAAACAGATGTTCAATTGGAATTGTTGTGTAAAGCTGAGTGTGTTGTGAACAGAATGCCAACGACTCTCTGTCATATGTTTTTGTCTCTGCAGTACTACGAAATGTCCTACGGCCTCAACATCGAGATGCACAAACAGGTGAGAAAAATAATATTTGCTTTGTTTGGGTGGGTTTGTTTTGTCAGATTGTTGCTGGGATACTTGGAGCTCAAGTGTGAAGTGTGTGTGTGAAATTTGACTTTACATCAACAGTCATTGCTCACAAGTTGTTGTTTTCTTATTATTATTTTTAAAAGCTCCAGTAACTTCTATTAGTGTGAATAACTCACTTATGACCATGTCAGAATTTAGCTTAGAATCTGCAGAGATGATTGTAGTGTTTTCTGAGGTCAGTTGTCTGTACTGGTCAATTTGAACTGGACTGGCTTCAAAAGCAAATCAGTTCTAAATGAACAACCAGTAATTGTTTACTGAAGGTTTTATTCAAATTCGTAAGGTGGTTCAGGAGAGAGATTGCCAACAGACAAACCTGACTCCAAGAAGTTACTGCTAAACCTTTTAACAAAAATCTTGAAATTAGGTAAAATTTATTTATATAGATATAAACTCACAAAGTTCTTCATGATAAAAGCAAGAAAAATGTAAAAGCATATTAACACCACATACACAAGTAAACAGGGTGTAGATTACGCACATCAAACGCTCACACAACCAGCTAAAGCCTATTTGAAAAAAAAAAGCCTTTAGATGTTTTGTGCAATCCTTTAGCAGTTAGATTACATGTTGGGGAGTAGCTACTACCACACCCAGTGTTAGGTCAATTTCAGATTAATTGACTCAGGTATAGACTTTTTTTTCATGCAATTTTTATGAAATTTTAGAAACCACATTCCAAAAGAAGAACTTAAAAAGGCAAAACAAGGGAACAACAGGTGGTATTATAGCACAGTGCTTTTCATAGTGGGGGCCACCACGGGGGGCTTCAGAAAGCTGAAGGGAAGTAAAGAACAACCAGTTCAATGGACATTTTCTGAACTATACGTCACAGTTTTTGTGACAAAAGTTTTGTCACAAAACATATAAATAAGGTTTGGATTTACCAGCTACAGTTGGTGGTCTTCATTCTCCTCTGGCTCTGGGTCAGACTCTGGCTCTAACATGGAAGGCTGGATGGACAAGTCTTCTGTTGTTCACATCTTTGAATTCATTTGTAAATAAAAAGTTTCTGTGCTGATATAGTCATAAACCCCTTTATTAAAGAATGGACCACTCTGGAAGCTGGAGGGTAGCGGGCGTGAAGCACCTTGTTTAGATTTAAAGAGACAGCCTCAAAACAAGTTGATCTGAGAAACACCTCAGAAAAGGGGTGAAAGGGGGGCTTGTGGAGTTACAATAAGGAGGAAGTCAGACTAAAGCATTTCAGTTCCACTTTATATAGACCCCAACTGAATGATTTAAATGTGAAAAAAGGATTTAAAAGCATGACATGTCTCCTTTACATTAAGTTGTCTTTGGAAGTCTTCTTGAATTGAGATTACTATAAAAAAATAATCTGATGCATCCGATGATGATTTTTTATAGAGTTGTATTAAATTTAGAAGTTTAAGAGATATTTAGTGAACAAAGACAGACAGGACTGGGCAAAAACATTATCACCCACCTTCCCTTTCCTGCAGTAATAAAGTGAGCAAATCATGAGCAAAGTGTCCATTATAACACGATCATCTAAAACAGTTCAGAATATACCATAAAACAGTCATTATTTTCAGGATGAAGACTAGATCTGAGGGCAGGCGCGGTAGAGAAAAGGTCGTTGTAAATTTTCTAACGTTGCCACTTGTCCTTGCCGGTATTCTTGAATGAAGACATTTGTCTCTCAAGCAGAGTGTGCACTCAGGAGCCCGTGGCTGCTTGTCAGTCCCCCCGCTAATTGCTGTCTGGGTCACGCTTGCAGAAGAGGAAGACAGTGAAATTGCGTTCAGAGAGACAGGCAGACAGCCAGATAGATGTCGAGGCAGAAGGACAAAAAGGCAGACAAGCAACCTGTTCTAGTTTGATAGAGCTCCGTGCAGATAGACAGAATCATTATCCAGCTGAATGGCATTTCCTTTAAGGTGACTGCCTGTGCGTCCCTCCCTCCCTCCCTCCCTGCCTCTCTGTATCTATCTATCTGTCATGCTAACTGGCTCTCTGTGGTGGAGTCAGACGCTGTCACAGAGGACAAGACAAGAGGGGGTTTATTTTTCACTTTTACAATGAGCTCCTTGGCGTACACCTTCAGAAAGCAGCTCATTGTTTGAAGCGGTCCCTGAGACGCCTTCGAATGAAAGGCTCCGTGCTCTGCTCTTTAACCTCATAATCTTTGTGTCATTTAGCGATCAGGATAATTATAGCAGAGACATATCAACCACCGGCTTTCTGCACAAACACTGTGTGCAGTGTAGACACAGCTGATATTACCCTGCTGCCTTAAGTTGCTGCGTTTCTGGCGTTAAGAAAGAGCATGTTCGGTTAAAGTGCTGTTTAAATCTCAGATCAAACCATTTTATGAGGGACTGACCCGTCTTGTCGATGCTATCTGGCCATGCGTGTCTTTATTTAAACGTGCTGCAGCTGAGTGTTTGTGTGGCTGGTTGTTGGTTTTGTGGTCTGGCACATAAATCAACAGATGGGTTAGACTCCAGTAACCCTCAGCAAAACTAAAGGTGGTTTCTCACTGAGCTGCGACTGTTGGAAACTAAGTTGATGACTCAACAATGTGAGACTGTTGTGAGAAAATGACAATTTCTTTAGTTGAAGTTTCCCTGACTTCTGAGTTTTGGCGACCAAGCATCCAGCAAGTCGTGTGGCCACTTTGGAGGGCCAAATTTTCAAAAACCATGACTTTGCTCAAGGCTGAGCAAATTGTTCTGGGGGCCATCTTCATCCACGTCACACCTGTCTTAGCCAACTTTGTACAGTTTGTCAGCCACTCGCGTGTTATTTAACCTACTGGAGTTCACATTAGAGATGAAAATAAACAGATTTGGATGAGTTTTTCCAATAATAATTGTTGATCATGCATCAAGTGGAGGAGTTTAAGTATCTGGGTGTCTTGTTCACGAGTGATCAACAGATTGGGATGTTGTCCTCAGTATTGAGGGTGTTGCTTCAGTCAGTCGTGGTGAAGAAAGAGCTGAGTTGAAAGACAAAGCTGTTGATTTACTAATCTGTCTATGTTCCAACCCTCATGTGGTCATGAGGGGTGGATCATGACTGCAAGGACAAGCGGCTAAAATTATCTTCCTTTGTGGGGTGACTAGGTTCAGCCTCAGAGACAGGGTGAGGAACTCCATCATCCAGGGGGAGCTCAGAATAGAGCTGCTGCTCCTCCGTGTCGAAGAGTTACTTGAGGTGGTTCATCTGATTATGATGCCTCCCTTTAGAGGTGTTCCACACACATCCCACTGGTGGGAGGCCCCTGAGAAGACCCAGGACTCTCTGAAGTGATTATATCTCCTCTCTGGCCTGGGAAAACCTCGGGGTCCCCCAGGAGGAGCTGGAAAGTGTCTCAGCAGAGAGAGCTGTCTGGGTTTCTCTCCTGAACCCRCTGCCTCCCTGACCTGATCACGGATAAGTGGCAGGAGAAGGAGATGAAGATGATTGATCATTGGTGCGTTTTGTTGGCCTGGACGTTTGCCTCGCACGCTTTCTGTCAGAGGAAAGCTTATATGCTACATGTCTCACTCTAGAAATGACTTTGAGACTCCTGCCACAAAACTGAGAAAGGTTTGAGACACTTTAAACAACTTTGCAAATGTTTAAAAAATGTGTGTGTTTAAATAAAGCATAAAGGTTGCATGCCTTGGTGACTAATGCAAGAAAATGAAGACAAACGTTTAGACAATCTGGTCTCCAATTAGTTGTCAACAATTGCAGTCTAGTGAGATACTACATTAAGATGGTAAAGAAAATGGCTGAATAGATATTTTTAAAGCCATTGACACATTAGGAGTTACACATTAAATGAAGTATTTCAGATAATGTGCTTAAAATCATACAGTTGTCCTGTTTTTGCACTTAAAATGATATCACTCAGTGTTAATGTAACATTGTTAATTAGCTTTGCCATTTTTTTTCACCCAACTTCAACTAGATAATATGCTCAATATCATAGTCTTTAGAAAAATAGTCAAAGCTTTTCAGTTGTTGATTTTTAATTTTTTTACTATCCCTATTTGTAAATGTTTAATTGAGTGTAAGAAATGTCAAGAATCATAGTACATAATACATGTACTACGGTCATTTTCTACTTTAAGATAAATTAAAATAATTTTTCTCCAACTGAAAGTACAACATTGTCACTGTCAGACTAAAACTTTGTATCTCCATTTCCTTCATTTTCTTATGTCCAAATTCCATTTTTCTGACTGCATCATACAAATCCAGGTTAAAAAGAACGTCATGGTTGAATAACTGTTTTGTACTGAACAGAGTGATAAACTTTGATCACCACAAGACTAACACTGGACTCTGCAGCAAGAGTGCCGATAAAAGACCCAGAGGGAGGAAGTGAGATGGCTAATAGCAAAGCCAAGCTGAGCTGTATTGTCTTTTCTTGTTGCCAAAAAGAGAAAACCTAGAGGGTTTATAGAGGCAAGGTGGCCAAGTAAGTGGTGAGGGTGGAAAATAGRATGAGCAGAAGGAACGGAAAAAAAGTATAGTAATGATGACAGGAGAGGAAACAGCTATGTTCAGGAAAATAAGAGACATAGAATGATGTCAGAAACAAGCGAAGATGAAGCAAAAAGAGCCAACAGGAGGAAGATGAGTTATAGAGAAAAGGCAGAGCAGGTATGTCTGGACAAAGAGTGAAAAACAAGTGGAGGAAAAAAAGGAACAACGAGAAGAGTTAAAGAGATGAGAAGATGAACATGAGACGAGCTGTCAAAATAAAGAAACAGGAAAAAAAAAAAAAGAAATTGAAGCTGAAGTTAAAACTGAGTCCAAAAGAAGAAGGTACCAGAGGATAATATAGAATAAAACATTAAAAAACTACTTAAAAATGAGAAAAAGACAGAACAGTGGATTACAAGAAGGTATAGAAAAAAGTTACAAAAGCAGGAGTTTGATTAAAAAAAAATTAGGATTCTCATAAG